TAAGCGAATCTTTTTCACCGGTTCTCAAGAAGGAGCAACATGATGATCGTGCTTTTTAATCATTATTACACATCTTTCACAGTTTCTGTGTGCACGTGTATCGTTTGTGCTATTCAGATGTCTTTCGGGAATGCGGCGGAAGCAAAAGCGTACTGATCATGTTTGAACATGATCGTACAAGGCCATTGGCATTGATGATCATGCAGCAGCTGCTGACCAATCCGAACTGTGAGGACGACCTCGTCCGCATGCTGGCGTTGCTAAACTCCTCTGCACTGATGCCAATAACGCCTAAGATTGAACTGCTGAGGGTAAGGAGGCCAGGCATGAAACTTCTTTTTTTAGAAGCGACACCTAGACAGTTGTTTTCTAGAGCCTTTCTGCTGTACTCCGTGAAAGTCATCGTGTTCGCATGGCGTTTCGTCGCGTAGGCGGCTATTTGTATTTGATATCGTTGCTTGTCAACATGGAGGCGGCTTTCAAGGATAGCACTGGTGCGTATAAAAAATTTTATAATTTTGTTGTATGAAGTGATACAATATACCACGATGCAGCCACCGGTGTACACAGTGTACCGGTTGACTGGGCAGAAACTACAGTAGCAGCTGCAATTTTGTGAAGATGTAAATCAAATTAGTGTATCGCTCAGTTTTTAATGTATGTAAAATTCTGTTGAATATGGTACAAAAGTTTATTATGTGGTAAATGACAGTCTGTAGTCAGTTTATCATTAATGGGAAACCAACGCATAAAATCCTGAATTAAAAATATTCTATAAAGAATGACATTTTGGACCAAACTTGGTCCGTTTACCGAGTTAAAATTTTTTGAATCGTTTATGATATAGTTTAATATTTGTCTTGTATACAAAAAATATGCGACGGCAAGAGTGAACAACATCTGCGTGCACCCTTGCATTGGCGGATGATATCTTATTGCTTGCAGGCATCTTCGAGGCTGCTACATCACTGTTCCTTATCTGTGAAACAGATGTTGTGATCTAGGTCTCTCGAGTAACTTAAAGAAGACAAGGTGAATGGAAATTGAAATAACCAAGGCCAGTGGCTGTCTAGCCCTTGTTACCAGTGTTGTGGAGAAATATCAGAACATTGCTTGGTGGTGCATTGGCTGCAGACGGAAGAATGGCATGTGAAGTTAAGAGGCGCTGTACATCGGTATTGACAGAAAGTGACAGTTTTCAAGCTGTGTAATGACAACGATGTTGACAAAAGCACCAAGCTGCTGATATATAAGGCTTGCATTCTGAGCATTCTTCTCTGTGGCTTAGGGGCGACAGCACTCGACAGAGCTGAAAACATTTGACAGGAAGTGGCGGAAATGAAGGGAAGATCTTAACCTCCATATTAGGGGTGAAATGGTTCGACCTGATGTCAAAAGTTTTAATAGATGGATTAGAGTATCTAATTAAAGTGACAGACTGTCTGTAGGAGGCTGTTAAGGTAGGAGGCCCATCGCCAACGATAGACGATGACCGTTTTGCTAAGGATACTGAATGCAAAGGCTGATGGCGCGTTTGCTATGAAGTCTTTCAGCAAGATGGAAAGGTCTTGTTAGAACAGACATGGCATTGTAAGAATTGGAGGGAACACTCATTTATATGGTCCAGGTGTTATGCTTGTACGGCACACGGCGTCGTTTTCGATGCAGTGGGATGCGACGACGAAGTATGAAAGATATTGCCTTATGCTGCTCAGTGGGTGTTGCATGTAAAACCAGATATTTAAGTAAAGCCAGGTAAAAAAACACATTTAATAAAAATGGGATATTATATATTAATAAAAGTGCTAGCGCCGTCTGATGTTCCTCCAGTTGCGCCACTGTGCAAAGTTATAAAAATATATCTTCTTTTTTTCGAGTTACGTTGTAAAGAGACTTCGAAACGCTGCTTTAATAGTTGTTGATGGAAAACATTTAGACTGTTTCATTGATCTGCTGGAACTCTTGCGACTGGTCTTCAAGACTCTGACTTTCAGCATGCGTTTTGAGCCGGCCAACGCGCGATTTTTTGCTACTGAGGTACAGCGACTGTAAATGAAGCATGCGGTGTATCTTGTGCTAACAGTGTCTTCCAGATCAAGTACAGCAGCCTTACGGATAGCCTGAGGCTGCTGGGGTGTTTTGCGCGATCAGACAAGCTGACGATAGTGACACTGGAGGACGACAAAAGTACAGAGGCGGCAAACGATGTGCTCGTGCAGCTGTACGAAATTTTCACATGGAAAATTGAAGACAGGTGACATTCACGTGGAAAAGACTATCTCGTTGTGATGGTGATTTATAGGGAGACGTTTCCTGATCACTCATTACCGCGATCCATCGCTGTCGTCTGTTACATCGTTCGGCTGCTGTACAACATGGCATTTGACAGCTTCGATAGGTAAGAATGCTAAGTTGAGACGAGTTGTAACGCTTCATAAATCGTAGGAGTGGTCAACGATCGTTTTTACCGTTAATATTTTACAGCAAATGTTTTCAGATACTTTGTTCGTTACCAGTAGTTTCTTTCTGATGGTCTAGAACTCCTTTTATGCTTTCCTACCAGACTGAGTTATGAGGTCGAAATCGAGAATGTTGATCATATTTCCGTGGCCGTTGTGGTGCTGCGTATTATTTTCAGACTCCTGAAGGGCAATCAACAATCAGAAGAAATCTATTATATATCTATTGTATTGCAGTGTATCGATGCTCGTCAGATCACCTGCCTGAATCATCTTGTACATGAGTTATCGGTCATATATCCTAGTCAGAATTCGTGACCTTTGCAACATAATTCAGCTGTCTACTGTCCTGATAAAAACGGCGGATGAGTTGACTGGGACACGTACTTACAACATCTCCGAATGGTATCACTTCCATCACACTGAAAGCTATCTTCATTCGTGGATGACATCGGTAAAGAAGCTGACAAGTTAAGTCGTGCAGGGTTACTCTCAGAATTAAGTTGAAGTCCTCTCTGCGCCGGCAGCGTACGGGTACATACGTTGAATGAAAGACTAGCTGAGTTTGCTGAAGACCATGGAGAGGTTAGCATCACGCCATTAGCTCTTTGAAACAAGGATGCTTTATCTGGCTGTCGTCATGGAACTCTGAGGGACACCGACTTCACTACGATACAGACTTTCTTTTTCTTCATCTGCTTTGCTTGTTTGATGTACGCGTTAATTCAGAAATGGATTTTCTCTTTAAGGTTCGAGTTCTCGCCAGAATATCGCGCTTCGCCTGATAGCCGTAAGCAGAAGCAGAAGAATGGCGTTGGATCGTCTCTACTTATCATTCCGCCGGTTTCAAACGATTTGATTCTGGTGCACCCTGGCGCCATCATGTGCATGACCGAACTGCTGTTATACATTCATCATGAGGACAGCCGTGTAAAATAGGACGACTTTTGCCACGGCTTTTTGAATCTAACCGGATTTTCAGGCTACCCTTGGCATGCAGATCTATTTGTTGGAAGTGCTCAAGTCCGCACTGCGTAGCGAACGCAATCAGCAGGTGATGTGCCAAGAAGGACTACCGGCGTTACTGGTGAAAATTGGCGCACCTATATTCCTCCAGGAGGATCATCCTCTGTTGCCCCCGTTTTTCTACATTTTCGAACGTCTAGCTGCGCAGTGCATGGAACCAAATGAAATATGGAACTTCTTGCGCCTAGCTGATCCGCTGTGTTGTGCAGACTTGGATGACAACGAGGATAACGGCATTTGTAGCGGTGGTCCGGTGGCCCTCAGTCGAGTCAAGACCTTGGTGTCGATGATGACTCCGCGCGACCTTCGTCTTAGTTGGATGAACGTCAGTCCGCC